TGTATGAGACACATGAGAGCAAGCTTGGGGTCACAGTGCATGGTCAGCCAGTGTGCAGCACCCCTGGAGCTGGGGGGTTAAAGGCCTTGCTCAAGGGCCCACAGACATGTAACTATTCTACTGAGGCTGGGGCCTGAACCGGTGACCTTTCAATCGGCGGTACAGAGGCTTAGCTGAAGCACACACTGCCGCATGTAAGGTGACTATGTGACTATAAGGTGGCCAGTTTGGAGGGCAGGGGAGACCCACCGTTGTACCCTTGAGTTATTCAACAGGCATTTCTCCAGTGAAACATTCTGTTGTATCAAATGATGAATGAGGATACTCACATATTGCTGCTGTAACCTCTACCATAAACAAAAAAAGACAAGAGGGAAAAAAAAGCTAAGTCACTCTCTCGTGGCCTTTGAGAGAAAACATTACCAGAAGGATGGACTGCATGATAGGTAGCTGCAAACAAACATATCTTGTCTTGTGATCCCAATGTCCAGGCTCTCTCTCTCTCTTTCTCTCTCACACACACACACATGTAATCATATCTTTTTGGGGACCGCTCATTCATTTCTATGGGAAAAATAGTAATGCTAACTATGACAACAGGTGAGACCAACGACCTCAGACTGAGCAGAGTCCAAGCATGTGAGAACTGTAAAAAGGGCCTGGAGAAGGACATGGAGGACAGGGGTAGCCAAGCCAAAAATGTTCTCATGTATGTTCATAATGAAAACAAAAAACAAGGATTACTGCTGACTTACATGCTGAGTGGTCAGTGGGTCTTATTCCTCCTGTTGACATTTAACCCAAACATACAGGTCAGACTTTCAGATATGCAGCCTTTACAAAAATACAGAATCACTAAAATTTTTGTATTGTACACATAACACAAAACTCAGTTTGCTAGAGATATTCTGATTAGGGGATTCAAATTTTGATTATGGATGGTGATACAGAGGTTTTCATTCCAGATGCGCAGAGATGAGTGCTGAGGTCACAGAGGCCTTTGAATTTATTTTGTCTGAAGGTGATTCCCAGCAAGTTACACACTGATAAAATGAAACATGCTTCATTTGCCGTTTGCACAAGTACATCAGGAATGCTTACTTTCACGTATCACATCTGCAAATGTTCTGTTTCCGTAATGTTTTTTAACAAAAGGGGGACTACAGTATAGCGGTCTCATTTTAAAATGTCACAGCTCCAGAATCGTGCCGATGTTTCGTGTGATATATGGACCCCTGCAAACAATTTTAGCTGCCCACAGCTTTCTACATTGTTCGCCATTTGGAAGTTTTTGCTTCCTCAATTTTCCTGAATATTTAAAACCAGTAATTCTATGAAAAAGTTGGGTTTAGACTCTCCTGAGAGAAGGATATGCTGTCTCACACCAACAATCTAAAAAAAACAGGTTTTATCACATTGTGGGGTACATTTGGTCTCCACAATGTATGTAATATAAACATAATCCACACACACACACACACTTTCCAAGCCATAGAATGTAGCCCTGACCTGTCAAATATAGCAAAAAATCAGGTCATGTATGAGCTACAATATATATGTGTCATGCCAGTCCGATTTCCTCTGAAACTGCAAAATATATAAAGCCGGAATCTGTCAGCAAAACAACAAAACAGCTAGAAATACTGTATAAGTGAATCTCCACAGTAGTCGACACAGATATCATAGGTAATGGAAGGATTTCCTGCTTAATAAATGAATCTCTGACTAGGCACTAGCTGCTGTCTGAAGATTCTACCCATATAAGAAAACAGCATTTTCTTTTTGACTCACTGAGATTTACCTTTGGCACAGCTGATAAAGAACATGGCTGAAGGTATGTGGGCACCGCCATTAAAGAGGAATTGGCTAATGTTGAAGCAGGAATGTTTGGGGGCAAGTTCAGTGGTGAAATGGTAGGTCACATAAACTCACAGAAAGACACCTGATAACCGAGAATCAATACCCAACCAGAATGGCAGCAAATGTCACCAGCAACATTCCAACATCTAATGGAATGCCTCAGTGAAAGAGTAAAGGCTATTATACCAGCAAAGGGTGGATCAACTTCATTGCAATACCCTTGGTTTTGAAACGCATTGCTGTACAAGCTGATGTCCATATACTTTTGACCATAGAGTGTATCTCTGCACTACGGCTCTTTATTCAACTTTCAAACAAATTAAAGGCCTCACAACAAGCTTTACAAGTCAACATCATCTTGCAGGTGGGTCATTCAACGTAGCTGGTTCATATTAATTACACCAGTGCTGAGTTCCAAGGGAGGCAGAGATGGCTGTGCACTGGAAATCTTCCTGCAAACCAGTGCAGCACTGCACATTTATGCAATATGTTGGGCAAAAGAAATCATGTCTGTGGGCTTTCATACAATGTAATTCATTGTCTACTATTTACTTACAGTACTGTCTTCTGCAACAAAGTTCAGACATAACAAACACAAATCATAACCAAGTCATTGTTCATATTTAAAAGAATTATTTTAATAATATTTTAATGAGACACATAAACTCACAGAAAGACACCTGATAACCTAGAATCAATACCCAACCAGAATGGCAGCAAATGTCATCAACAACATTCCAACATCTAATGGAACGCCTCAGTGAAATGGAATGTTTATATAGTGCAGGACCAACACTTTAGCATCTGCACTGCAGTGCCACATGGTGGACAAGAGAGGACAATATCCTCATAGGCTTTCCAAGTGACAAGTTCACTTTGAATGGTTTTCACATAATTTCATAATGTCACCTTTTATACTTTAAAAACACTGCATATGTTTTAAACGATAGGAGTGGGACACAAAAGATGATTAAATGCCCAGACATGAACTCTCACCTTCCATGATCTTGTGAAATGTATTATCTTCAGAGCTGTGAACAGTCAGGAAATCTATACTTTCTTACCATAGGAACAAATAAACAAAAGAGCAACCTTGAGTTGCATCATAGATATAATGGAATCAGTTGACCGATGTATATATTTTGGAAGATACGCTGTTTTCTGTATGTATACATTCAAAAAAAATTTCTGAGATACAACACTAGAACAAACAGTAGAATTTATGTGGACAGATAGGGGAAAAAACTGCATCCTAATTTTTTTTCCTTAAATGAACACAGAATAAATCCCAAGTAGAACAGGAACCAGTATACCTTCAGATCTATTCCAGCTGGCTAGTAAAAACTACTGGCCCAGGAAACCAACCGTTACGATCTAAGCAAATATAAATACACATTCACTTTCAGGGATCTGAGAGGAGATACCATGACCAGGCACCAACCATCATATATAGCAGGTCATCTTGCAAGCTTTTGTCTCTGGGGAGTAGCACTCAAAAAATGACCACCACTAACTTAACTTTCCTTAATTATCATCCATCACAAATCAAACGGAGGAAGAGTGGTTCAGCTTTTCATGGAAATATATATGCCCTTCATGAAAGACTTGAGTGCATGAGTGCCAACTCAAAGGTGCTGTCAGGGACAGTTAAATTATCGTTTGGGCCTATTTTCCTGTGCACTGTGGGGGAAGACCAACCCTGAATGGAAAGGAATGGACATCATAAAGGCTGATTTAAAGGCTGCATACTGTAGAATCTACACTGTCGGTACGGCATAACCACATACCCTACGCCATAGCATGACACACACATCCCCTTAAATGTAACTACAGGTGTCAGGTTACAGCAGAGTGTGTGCGGCTAATGATGATGTAGATTCTGCACTGAAGTATAAATCAGCCTTAAGGGGACGTCCTGGCACACCCAACATATACAAAGGGTACCTGTACATCATGTGCCCATATCCCAGGTCCATGGATTACAATACATAGTGTTTTACTCCTGCTTTATTAGACGCGCTGTTCAGGTGTCCGTGCCCTGAGCCACTGTCTCCGTTTGGGCAAATCAAGAAATTTGAGGGCCATACCTGGCTGTGTGTTGATTCCTTTTGTCTAGAGGCAGTTGTGAGCTTATGAAAGACCATCCTAGCAGCAAATATTTCCAGACCGATCCTTTTAGGAGTACCTGTAGTGTTTCTGTAAGAGAGAAAAGCAAACACCAAGAATTCACAGCTCCCAAAATAATAGTAATGGAAAAATGCAAAATACAGAAATCATACATGTGACTGAAACTGGTTAGCATGATAATAATTGACTGCTAAATATTCGTCAGGGTATTAAGTAAAAGCTCCTTTTAATATTCCTTTCTTTTGTGATAAATATTTTAATGAAATATACCTAATATCTACAAATGTCTAATTATCCAGTTGGAATAAACATGCACAAGAGTTTTATAGATGATGTTTAAAGAATAAAATGCTTCCTAAGGCAGCAGGCCCACCTCTGGCACCCATATAAAGTCCACCTCAGGTCGCCCTGTCCTCTGTTCTCTAATTACTGTTATAATGCTGCCAGCAATCCCTGTTTCATGGCTGCCTCAGTGGCCTGTCCAGTTATTGTCCTATTACCCCACTGGTCTCCTTCACTTATTACTTTGATGTACCCCTTTCTATTCCTCATTTCCTGTTTGTGCTGCACCCTCTGTCATCTTCCCTAATTATCTAATTGTTATCTTCCCATCCCTACTCCATCATGTCTGTGCTGTTCCTTCTCTTTCCCTATTACCTCATTGTGCTGTTCTTTCTGCTTTCCACTCTTCATTACCTCAGTGTGCTGTTCTATCTTTCATCTTCCCCCATTACTTCAATGTGCTGTTCCAGCTTTTTATTTGGGGGATACTAATCCCTCGTTCTTCTCCTCTTCCCTCTCTACAGTAGCTCAGCATGCTGTTCCCTCTTCCCTCCCACCCACCCACACGCTCCATAATTCCACACTGAATGAATCTTCCCTCTGACTGACTGAAGCAGCTCTGCCTGTGAGCAGATAGCAAGAGAGGGAGGGAGGGAGGGAGAGAGAGAGAGAAAGAGTGATATCGAGCAAGAGAAAAAGGGAGGGAGGGACTCGGGAGTGAGAGAGACGAGAGCAAGAAGAGAAGAGAACAGAGAGAGGAGCATGTGTATGCCTCTGTATGTGTCCTTGCGTGTGCGTGTTCTTGAAGGACACAGAAAGCCAGACGACCAGTGGGAAGCACACGGCTGCTCTCTGACAGCTGTTCTTGCCACCGCAGCAGCAAGAAGCAGGGAGCATCAGCTCTGGAAAATCGCATCAATGTAAGGAGAAGGTGCGTCACCCAGAGGGGTGAGCAGATCGCGGTGTATGGACTGGATTGTATTCTTACCAGGGCTAATTCAGCAAGTTTTCGCACAGCAGTTAATGTCTCTCTCTCTCTTTTTGTGCGTGTCTCTCTCTTTCCCTCTCGGTTTGTCGTGGTTCATTTTAACAGCTGCAATTCTGAGAAAAGGAAAGAAAAAACATCATCTGCTTTTCAGGCTCCCCAGGTGTCGTGCAGGATTGGCATATTCCCCCTCTGGCAGCAGCCTGGATCCTCTGTGTGCCTCCCCTAGTCTCTCTGGGGATGCACCGACACAGCATTCATCTCCTTCTGTTGGACCCCCAGGAACACAAAGCTAGCTAACAACTTGCTGGTTGGGGGCTGCTCAGTATAGGGAAAGTACAAGTAAAAAGAAATTACCCCTTGATTCTGGGCTGACTGCAAACGGAGGGAGTTTGATTACTTCATATATAGTTGCTTTTATACAACTCTCCGGTTTTCCCATGGACACATGGGAGGGGGAAATAGGGGTGACTCTGAGCACTTTGCACTGGACCCATTGGTTTCCTGGCCCTGATGTTGGCTGTTGCCACTAATTTATCTTCCTCTTCTATTTTTTTTCTTACCCATTTATGTTTCCTGCTCCGGATCCAGCAACGATCAGTTGTCTTTTTTCTTTTAAATCTGATCATTCATGTTACTTGGGACAGAACAAACCATGGCAAAGAGATGGCCATAACTTCCCCTAATTTCTGTTCTGCTCTGTCTCACTCCTGAAGAAGCAAAGGGCACAGTTCAGATGTCCCAAAAGAAATGGTCTTACAAAGGCTTCAAATGTGCAACTTTCTATTGTTTCAATCCAGAACAAAGATGAACCTTTTTTGGTGACTCCTGTGGCTTTTTACCAATTCGCATGAGCAACAGAAGCAGGAGATTCATTCATAATCTGTCTAACTACGATGTGGAACACAATTATGAACTATAGAATTGAGCTTTTCAAAATAAGGGGCTGATTTTGATATATTGGGGTAATTCCAAGACAAAGCTTCTTTTATGACTGAAATGGGAATACCAATGTCAATATTCATGTATTTTATACAAAAACAAGGATAACCACTAATTCAATCCTCCATGAACTCACACGCATACATAGGTGAGGGCATAACACACCCATGCACACACACAAAATAATGATTGATTTCTCAGCCTTTCTCAGCTTTTCATTTTTTTTCACAATTGTCTCAACTGCCGCCACAAATTTGATTGCTGGGAGTTCCGTAGCCTTCAGCACTTGTCCTCTGCTCACCACCAGCTGTGGGTCTGCCACAGTGAAGTTCATGAGAAGGAAGTCAAGGCAAAGAAGGGCTTTGGTTGCCCAGGAGCTTTTAAGATGTTGAGATCTCCCCATATCACCGGTGTTCCCATTTGGATCAGAAGTGCAGTACGTCCCCATAGCCAGGGACATGGACCCCAAAGCGGCTCCCCCGCACACGCCCCACCTAGCCCTGTGAAGGATGTCCCTCAGAGAAGCACCACCTCGGGACACCTCTGAGACCCCCAGCTCCAGAGAGAGAATCCGTAGCCACATGAAGATGGTGATCGACCAACTTGAAGGCATCCTCCAGGAGTTAAAGGAGGTGGCCAGTGAACTCCGAGAGGTAAGACTGACTCTGCTCCTTATCATTAGGTTGGTGGTCTTTTTTTTAGGGCTTGCTGTAGAAAAGCAGTGAGGTGGTTTTGATAAGAAATCCTTTGATTTCACTTCAGCTTTGACGTGGTAACTTACCCGGTTGCAGAGAATAGAGTAACATGGCACCTGTTCAAAGGACTGTACTATCTAAGTGAAGAACAGATTAATTTTTTTAGGAGATATCTTGCATCTCAAAAGACTTGCTTAGACTTAAGTAAAGGATTTACTTGCATATTTAATTAATAGATTGGACTTGGTAGTAGTTACATACACAAAGACTCTTCTTATACAAAGTTGTATTTGTGTATTCAGGAAATCCATAGTAACAAGATCTACAAGTATGAGAGTTTAAAGATGCATTCTTCTCCTTGGGAAAAGATAAAAGGTGTATGTTTGACCTATGCCATTGTATCTCAGTTTTTCCTTGTGAGGTGTCCCTGTGAATCTGCTCTAAAAAATAATGAAGAAAATATGCTGTAGCTTCCATAATTAAAACTTTCCACCGAAGGACACCCTCTCACTCAGCTGAATGCCTATGAGGGGCCTCCCTCCCTAACTGCAACACCTCTCCTACACCCACTGAAATGTGTGCACATGTTTAATGCACCCTCAGCTCCCCGTCTGCCATCAGTGTCTTATTAGCTCGAGCCAACCGGCCAATCACGATGCAAGAGGCTCTCAGGGATGCATTAAACATGGAGGCTGTGACAGGCTGGCCGAGAGGGGCAGAGAAGCCGGTGGGGTGGAAAGCTGGTGGGGGCAGGGGTGGCAGACGGTCATAACTCACTGGTGCCAGGTTTCTGCCAACCCCCACTGTCGCCTGGCTTACACTTCTTTATTTACTCAGATGGGATAAGAATCACAGCCATGGAATGTACCACATGCTTGTGCTGGAACCAGGACATATGAGATCTTCACAGTTTCACATACATTAGCCACCCAAAACCACAAGCCCAACTGGCAGTAAATAAATACCAAGATTATATAACTAACCGAAAAATAACGTGACACAGTGAAGGACACAAGTCCAGCTTGCTCAGACAAATGCCAGTGATGATAATGAGGTCACAGCAATGAAGAGTAATTATCTGCTCAACGGCACCTGGAGCTACAAGCCTGGCTCCCTGAGCTTACAGAAACAGAACACACTGCTCTTCTGTATGAGCCAGTGTGAGATGTGCTCTGATCTTGGGTCTGAGCTTGGGGTTGCACCAGATGACACGAATGACCGTGTCATTGGCTGCCTTTACAATTTTCTGAGGTTTGAAGACATGACTTTGTTATGGCTGCTCTTATGAAAAATACGTCATTGGTTATTACATTTACATTATGTCACACTATAAATTCCATAGACCACAAGAAAATATAATAATCCAGTACACAGTGATGCTAATCATAACTTACATAGATTAACCAAGTGCTGAGTGATCTGAAATTATTCCGCTGAAAATTGTATTCTCTAACAACAACAATAAGAACAAATATCAGCAGCAATTTAAATTTCCACAGGTCATTAAGCACACAACAGAACTTATCGAAAATCTGAAATTTATAAAACCCTATGTTTGACAAATAAATTATAGAAAACACTGGAGGAAAAACCTTATGGGTTTTTAGCGGAAACATATACATGGGTAATAAGGGTGGGAAAGGAGTAAATCTATAGCATTTAGCAGTGTGTGTATAGCATAAATAACATTAGTTTCTGATATGTGGTTTAAATGAAAGAGATGTGCATTTGTGAAAGCAGCAGTGCAAGGCTGTACCACCAATATTTCTCAGAAGCGCACTTAGCAGTAGAGTATTGTAAATGGATCAGTAAACAAGAGATCGTTTCCCTCTCAATGATCAGCTACAGGAAAAAGGCAGAAGGTAAAAACCAGGCTTAGAGGAACTTTGTATCGACTGAAGGAGTCTCAGAGTGTAACAAAGCTGGGCTGTTGCTGCCAGGCTGTAGGTAGCGTGTGGTTAGCCAATGGGCAATCTCCAATACAGCAATGACAGTGAGCCCATCAGTAAATTTGTTTTATGCTTGGAAACCGGTAGCATTAGGCTTGCATTTCCAGCACCCAAGGCTAATCAGGAGTTAATGAGCTTTATTGTTTGTTTTTCCCCAAGGTTCCACTACTAGATTTCCAGCCAACTCTGGCCTTGTTTAGCATCCAGCAGACCTTAGGCAGTATTCAGCTACACTCCACACAAGTCCAGGAGATGCAATATTTTCACAATCAAGGTTATAAGATATTCATATTCAGCATCAAACAAACCCTTATGCAAAAAGCAGGCAATCCACATAGAACAGGCTTGCAATCCTGCCAACTTCATGGCTGATATGTCATGCTGCAGAGGTCCTGAAAACACCTTTGGCTATTTCAGATTAAGGGTTTATGGTTATCATACAGAAGCAAGAATGGCACTTTCAGCCCTGTAGTTAAACCGCTGCTCTGCTTGAAATAAACACAATAAACACAATGCACAGATTTATATATACACTCACCTAAAGGATTATTAGGAACACCTGTTCAATTTCTCATTAATGCAATTATCTAATCAACCAATCACATGGCAGTTGCTTCAATGCATTTA